TTTCAAAATTTATTACGTTCTTTTTCTCTATATTTAAAGTATTTCCTTATTTTAATTAACATTAATATAAATTTATATTTTAATTAAACAATTAATTCTATAAAAAATAATTAATTAAATAATATTTTTTTTTCTATAAATTTATAGCTTGTAGAACATGGCATTGTAGAATTCTAGTAAATGTACATCCAAAAACCGTATTGACATATTAATTTTAATATGTAATTCTTGCATATGAATATACTCGATGCAAATTGTGTAATATTGCATTAAATTTAATATGCATTTTACTTGAAAATTTTAATTCAAGGTGTAGATTTTAATAAAAATATAATATGTATATGTATATAGAAAATAACATGATTACATTCCATTGACTACTTTAGTTTAAAATATTTACTTGGCATTGACATTGAAAAACATTTTGTTTTTCCTAAAATATATAAAAAAAAAAGCTTCCAAATGATGTGTGAACAATAATGGACATTAATTGTATTTATGCATATGAACATATTCTGATATACAGCGAACATTTAATACAAATCATATTCATATAAAATATACCTACTTAAAAAACCATTTAGAATTTTTAAGTCAACGTGCTTTTTTTCTGACTAAATGTGAAAAACGCATGAATAGAATTTTTTTTTCTTGTTGTTTTTGTTTTATTTCCGGGGAATTACTAAACACGAGTTCTGAAAAAATATAATATTGAATTTTTTATGTAATATTATAAAAAAAAAATCCTATTGTGGTGAAATGAATGAATCTTCTGAGTTTAAATAGATACACTATAAATTTTCATCTTCAAAATACTTTTCTAAATTGGGGTAGATTTAAGAAAAAGTTTTGAATAAGTAGATCTAGATTGAAAAATTCGACTTACCTATAATCAAAAAATAATTTGAATTTATTTTGAAAATCTTTAAAAATTATGAGTTAGCGTAATCTCCATATAAATTCTTGAAATTCTCTGTAACCTATCAAGTTATTATGCACTATAGCTAGAAGTCGGAATTGCAGTAATGTTGCTTTAAACTCTTTATTTCAACCCATTTAGGCGGAAAATGATAGAATATCTAAAAATTAATAGAAAGTAACTTCTGAAAGCTAACAGATCAATTATTCAGATCATCTCATGCTGAAAAAGAAATGGCGATTCATTTGTTGTTTGATGCGCACTATTGATTAAGAATCAGGTTTTAATTTGCATTATTGAAATTAAGGCTGCCAACTTTGTTTTGCAATGGATCTTTATTATTATGTTGGGTAAATGTCTACTACCATATGATTTTTCTTAGGATGTAGAATTCCGGTTGTTCGTTGTTTTCCACCCGTATGAATTTAATCTAAATATGTATGTATACTGGTCCTCGAAAATTTAATACTTTGCAACAAGTGCTCTAATACATACACGCTGAATACAACACCATTTTTTTTTCTTACTATAGTTCTGCCTGTTCAAATGAAATCCCATACGCATGTATAATTTAAGAAACCAATTAATTTATATTCGATCGTTTTTAGTTGTTGCAATAGCTATGCATGAAATTATCAACTTCTATTCTTCGTCATCTTAATTTGCAACTTCTAAAACTGAACTTGCTTATTATTTATTATTTAATTAATATGTGCCAACTACCATTAACTCACAACTATCTAAATAAAAACAAAAACAAATTGCCAGTTTGAAGATTGTCCTTATATTTTCAACATGACGTTTTCAATATTCATAATGTATGGTAATTCTTGTCAAATTTCAATGACAATTTAATTTGTCATGATTTTTTTTTTTTTTAGATTTTTTCATATAATTTAAATTTTTATTTAATTTTCTTTCTTTTTACATCTTATCTTATTAGTAAAGCTTAGAAATAGCAATAATTAGATTTTATAGATGTAAAAGTACATAGGTATGTTCACATGTTATTGTTCATTCATAAAAATTAATTATACGTTTGTATGTATGTATGTATGTTTTTACAATTTTTACGGTTAATTATAGCAGTACATGTGTACAGAAATCGTGTTGATAAACTTGAAGTTTATGACCAACATACAATATTCGAATTAATAATACATATCCATACATAGGTGTACATGCAGGTAAATATTGTATGAAATATGATGTACAGTTAGTTCAAATATTGAAGTCAGCTATAATTGATTATTAGAATTAAGAATTTTTACGATGTTTAAGAGCTGGTAGTACTGCTACAAGCAATTTGAAATGAATTTACGATGATTGTGGACTAAGTCAACAACTTGTTTTTGCCCTGTTAAAAAATCATTATATGTACAAAAATTGCAAAAAGTAAACAAAAGAGAAAGAGAGTAAGCAGAGAGTATGTTTTTCTAGTTTGCTCTATGACACGCTTTGTGTTATGGGTTCGTGTTACATGTATAACGCAAAAAAAAATTAAAATTTCATTTAAAATAATGGCGCTGTTAAACTTTGATAATTAAATTTTTCGCACTAATGAAATGTACGACGACATGTTCTCTATGCAGCTAGTTCTATTTGACATTCAGTTATCATTCATTTTAATAAACGCAGTTGATATTTTATTTTAAAATTTTAATTATATGACGTGACATTTTTTGACGTCCAACTTAAAATAAGTTGTTTACATAAGACTCTTACATATATTTTTTAAAGTTTTTCATATAATTTGTGATTAAATTTAAAATATATAACAGTTTTAATACATATTCCTTAAATTCAAATAACTGCAATTATTTAATAATAAAATAAATGCAATACAATATAAGATAACAAATTTCATTCCATATGCACGTATAAGAGATTTTGCTTTGATATTATATTCTTTTACAATGATTATTTGCTGGATAAATAAAACAGTGGATTATAGTTTGTATAACACTTATATACAACTTTATAGAAAAATTATAAAGTGATTATTTCTCTGCTGGATACTTGAATGTTAAGCAGAATCCAATTTTTTACACATATATTTTGAGTATTTTAAGATATCTTATAAAATTACTGCAATTCTATAAATTTTTAAAATTGTTTTGTTAAATAAAACTTGAAAATGACTACATGTTGTTCTTAAATAAGCTTTTAAATTCATAAATATATACATTTGCAAGCCTATTTATGAATATTTCTACAATTATACTTACTATTCACATAATAATATAAAAAGCAACTTACTGAAGAACAATATCTTAATTATTACGTATTTGTTTTTTAATAATTATTATTACGAAATTATTTTATTGCCATTTTACAACCATAATATACACAACTAAATGTCAATTTTAACACTTTATTATCATTTTTTAAAAAATAATCAAGGTAAATTATGATAAAGTTATTTTAAAAAAAACATACCTATATGTATATTAAGAAAATGAATGTTAATCTACAATTTGAATGCTGATTTTTTATTAATATTAATCCCAAATAATATATTGGGTTGTAAAAACAAATTAATTGAAATATAAACGGTTATTAGAAGTTATATTGGGGCTCAATATAAAACAGAGAATAAATTGTTATGAAAGCAATTGGATCAAAAAATAATATGTAAAAAAATTATTAAGTTGAAGTTTTAGTGCAATAATAACACTATTATGTGTCGAGAACTCGTAATTTTGAAAATATTTATAATAATTTTTATACTTTTTTGGTTTTTCACTTTATTTTTTGTTAATTTTTTGAGATATAACTTTACATATACGGCAAAATCTAAAATTTAATCTGAGCCTGAAAAATTTAATGAAAGCCGCGTATGTAAACACCGTTTAATATCAGACTGCCTGACATCATGTAATAGAAATTACTCAATTTTCATCAGACTTTTTAAAAGTCAAATGGTAATTCGTGACAATCAATTTATTAAATACGTAAATTCACGCTTAAGTGCGTCTAAACAAATCCAATTTTTATAAGCACTTATCCGAGTAGAGGCTTTAACCGAAGCCGTTTAACTGCACAAATCAAAACAACTAAGTGGATTTTCAATAATTTAATTTTACCCACAAGGGTAAAGTTTTAAAATTTTACCCATATAAATTCAAAGAATTTTCTCCGGTTTTTTATATAGGTAACCACCCGCAAAAAAAAAGTTTAAATGACTTAATTATTGTTGAATTTTATTTGCCATTAGACAAAAACCATTAATTTTTCAAAAACTTCAAAAATGTATTTTTTTGGTTTGTGTCTGAGGCAGCAAAGTGATTAATTTTTGAACAAATTGAGAAAAATGTCCTAAAAAATTAATGCACTTAAACGATTTGCGCAGTTATTAGAAACGCAATAAAACGCTTTTTTTGACGTTGAATGTAATGGAGAAAATAAAGGTTCTAAAAAGTTGACGTACTTAAATAGAAAACGCAGTTAAGCGGAAAGCTGCTAAACGGGTATTACTGTACGTATATATTATCTAGAATTAAATTTTTAATCACTCTGTTCCAATATGTATTTGAAGCTCCTAATTAAAAATACTTGTAAATTTATTTTGAAAATTTTTCAAAAATTAACAACTAAAATTCTGTTAAAATTTTCAACGTGCTTATTAATGCTAGTACATGATTAAGCTGAAATTGTGCGACTAAAAGCAAAAACCGGCTAAATCACATTTTATTTTATACTTCAAATTAAAATTCTCCATACTAAATTTCGAACTTAAAAATGTAAAAAAAAAATAAAATAATTTTTAAACCTAAACTTTAAATGAAATCTTTTAATTAACATATAACATTCAACAAGAAATAGTTCAAATTTGATTTCTTTATAATTTTGCAATATTCTGTCAAAACTTCATTTCCGAAATTGCGGATATAACGGTAAAATTCCATAATTTGCTCAAACATTATATAGCTTAAGCTTGATTCTAATTTATTTAAAGTATGATTTTTCGATTTTGCGAGTTTTTGTTTTTAAACTACAAAATTAATTATTATTAATTATTACCTAATATTTTTGTCACAAAAATATTTTAAAATAATTCAAGCGTAACATAAAGTGAAATATTTTTAGCGCCGAAAAAAGAGAGAGAAAAAAATTCGTTTGCTGTAAACAATAACACATAATGAATTTATTTAATTATAAAGACTTGGGAATTTTAAAATTAAGCATTTTCTGGTTTTAAGCGATTTGTGTATGTACGTATATGTGTATTGCAACAATGACAACCTGTTTATGCTGGAGACACTAGAAGTAAATAAAACTTTTCGGTTAAATACGAATTTTGCAGTATATAGCTTTAATTAATTATTGAAATACATTTCACAGATTCGAAATAGAAATATGTAAGTTGATACAAGTGCCAAACTTTATATCGTAATTCAAATTAATACATAAAATTGTCTATATATCTAAATATACATAAGATATATATGTAAATTGAAATGGTAATTAAATTAAGAACTTTTATGAAAATTAGTGCTTACGATAAAAATATTTGACAACAAAACTTCTGACACCTTTACTGATTTGCTATGATATGTGTAAGTCGCATATTTTTGGAGTCTCTTAATTTTTACGAAAGAAAAGGAAAAAAATTTAATAGCTCAACATCAAATTAATTGAAAATTCTATATAATTAAATAAATTAATTAAGAAATATATAATTAAAATTTTACAAGTAATGAAATGCGAAGTTTAAGCAGTCAATATCTTATTTTGTTAGAACGAATTAGACCATCGTAGTATTCAGAAGAAGTGATACGCACGGCAAGTACAAAAATAAAAAAAATAAAAAAAAGTAAACAAAGTTAGTGATTAGCACATCGCTGTTATGACTTTTCTTGAAAATGGAAAAGAAAACGGACATCATGCGGAGAACATTTGGCAAATGTAAGTTAATTTTTATTCTTTACACTTGCAGCTTGTACGAGCATGTCAAATTTTGACAAGTATACATTATTTTCTTCTAAGCAAATTCACAATTATTAACCACTATCGATCACACTCCACGACAACTGCTGTTGAAAGAAATCAGCATTTTTCCTATGTTGACAAATTGGAATACATATAAATTCTATACACATAAAAATATACATACATCCATATTGGAATTAAAATTTCTTGTTCATTTTTACATGTCACTACATTCTGCAAGCTTTAATATCATCAAAAAATTATTCTCAAATTAAGAAATTTTATACTAACTCATATGTATAATTTGTTTCTTCTAATTTTAGGGAAAAAATTGAAGAAGCCGAACCGTTATCATGGAGATTTTGGCGAAAGAAACGTTATATTGTCGTATTGTTAGCATTTTTTGGATTTTTCAATGTTTATTCATTACGTGTTAATTTAAGTGTTGCCATTGTCGCAATGACAGAAAATCGTTCACACATTGATGAAAACGGTACAGAACATTGGACACAAGATTTTAATTGGAATTCAAAAGAAAAAGGTTTAATATTGAGTTCATTTTTTTACGGTTACATTTTAACACAATTTTTGGGTGGATTTCTTGCAACAAAAATTGGTGGTAATCATGTAAGAATCATAAATTTAGAACAATCAGAAATTTTTGAAATACAATCTAAAATAATTTAAAAAAAAAACATTTTAATGTGTTTTAGATTTATGGAGTAGGTATTGGAACCACATCAATTCTTACTCTACTAACACCATTAGCAGCAAAACATAGCGTAGAAATGTTAATAGCCGTAAGGATAATAGAAGGAATTTTTGAAGTAAGCACTATATTTTTAAAGTACAAAGGAACTTTTTCTTTCTATTAATTTATCCTGTGTTTTCAAATATAAATATTTTCTATGAAATGTTGACAACCCAATTAAATTTTTGTTTTTTATTTTAGGGTGTAACTTTTCCTTGTATACATGCTGTATGGGCTAGATGGGCACCACCATTAGAACGTTCACGTATGGCATCAATAGCATTTGCTGGTAATTATGCTGGTACAGTAGTTGCCTTACCTGCATCAGGTCTTTTAGCAACACGTTATGGTTGGGAAAGTCTTTTTTATGTTTTTGGTGCAATTGGTTGTGTATGGTTTATACTTTGGGAAATTGTTGTTAAATCTAGTCCAGAACTAGATAAATATTGTCCTAAAGAAGAAGCTGAATATATAAGAAAAACAACTGGAAATAAAGATAATGAAAAAATAATACCACCATGGAAAGCAATATTTACTTCACCTGCTGTATGGGCAATTGTTGTAGCTCAATTCGCTGAACTTTGGGGCTTTTATACAATGTTAACACAATTACCATCATTCTTAAAAGGTAATTAAATTCTACTGCTATCTATAAAATTTCTCTAACAAATTTTCTAACATTTACAGATACTCTTAATTTCAATTTGGATAAAACAGGATTTTTATCTGCTGTACCATATTTAACAATGGGACTTCTTCTTGGAGTTTCTGGATATTTAGCTGATTGGACTCAAATTAAAGGATATTTGACAACAACACAAGTTAGAAAATATTTTAATTGTGCAGCATTTTTAGCTCAAACAGTATTTATGACATTAGCAGCATATTTATTAGATCCAGTATGGACTGTATTATGTATAACGATAGCTGTAGGACTTGGTGCATTTGCTTGGTCTGGTTTTGCGTAAGTTCTTATTACATATTAAAACAAATCAAAATGTAAAATTCTATTCTATTTAAAATTCAATTTCATTATAGTGTAAATCATTTAGACATTGCACCACAATATGCTAGTATTTTAATGGGAATTTCAAATACATTTGGAACTATTCCTGGAATCATTAGTCCTTTAATAACCGGATATATTGTCCAAAATCAAGTAAGTTATTGTTTTAAAAATAATTATATACTTTTAACTTACATTTTTTTTTTTAATTTTAGTCAGCTGAGGAATGGAAAATAGTATTTTACATATCAGCTTCTGTATATATTATTGGTACAATAATTTATTGGTTCTTTGCAAGAGGTGAATTACAAGAATGGGCTAAAAAACCCGAACAAATCGCATATGAAAAGAAAATGAATGGTACAAATTCTAATCCTGAACAAAGGAGGGGTTATGATAATAATGCAATAGAATTAAGAGAATAGTTTAATAGATTTATAAAAAAAAATATATTTAATTGTAGAATAAATAATAAATCTTATTCTAAATATGTGATATTAAACATATTAGAAAACAATAATTAGTTACAGTAAATGTAAATATATACAGACAATGCAAGATAGGCAAAGATATGCTAATAAATGGATTTCATGTGATCTCTATATGGATTACCTTTATTAGCCTTAATATCGACTACTTAAAACTCCGTTAATTATTTATATTATAACTTAGAGTACTTAATTTTAACATTCAATTTATATTATAATTAGCTATTCAAAATAAATTAAAAGAAATTTTTATTTCCTTTTTTACAATTTGTTTACAAGTGTTTGATTATAAGAAAATGTACATTTTTGTTTTTAATAGTTTTAAGATTTTATATTAATGAGCAAATTAAAAATAAATGTAAATTAAAAATAATAAATTGGCCACAAAATCAAAAATTATGACAGAAAGCACACATACAGGTAACAAGCACTACATCCATGAAAAATTTAACAGAAGAGCTTAACATACCAACTTGAAAACCAGATTTCTAAATATCATTAAAATCAAAACAATTACGATGCACAAACATTTAGCAGCAGTTTCTATTAGTTTTATTCAATCACTAATCAAAACTAAACACAACTAATTAAACACACAGCGACATCTATCTAAAAATAATAACCACGAAGGCTTTAATTCTGAAATATTAAAACATAAAACAATAAAATTACGCTTATCTTAAAAAAAATGTTTATATAATTTGTTAAAACTTAAATTTGTTTAGAAATAAGTAAGACTTTAAAAAAAATTCAACAGAAGCATGCAAACTTTACCATTGAAACTTTTAATCTTACGTCATTTATTAAACAATATGTCAAACTCATTGTTATACCTACAATTTGCACTTATTTACTTTTTGTTAATGAGATATTAAATATTGAATATTTAATCCAATTCACAGCTAAATCATAAGTAAATATTTCCATAATTATAATAATTTAATAAAATCAATTTAAAGGTTAAATAAAGCTGAATTCAATTATAGGGCGCCGAAATAAAATTAATTTATGGTAAAATTTAAATGTAATCAAATAATAAATTGTTATAACGCTTAATTACAAAAAATAAAATCCTTTTTCTAAATTCTGTTCGATTGATGAATTTAAGAATTTTATACAGTTTGACTTTGGTAATTTACATAAATGGAATGACAAGAAGCTTCACTTATGAACGATACTGGATTGAGACCCATTATAAAAATAATAATATATGTACTTCTATATTTTACACTAAATAAAATTAAACAGAACTGTTCATAATAGTAGGGTAAAAATCAAATTTATGCAGATCACCTGTCATGCACATCAGCTGCTAATAAATTTTGAATGAATTGCCTTAGCACTTATACACTAACAATTCTGTTTTCCTTATTTTTTGCCGCATAATAAATTATAAAATAATTTTATTAAATACATACTTAATGTAATAAATTAAAAATTAAATTATTAAAATTTTGACATAACACACTTTCTACATATACTTACAAATTACAATTACTAAATTTTCGAATTCACCGTAAACAAATAAATATTGTCATTTGACATATAATGGAAAATTGACATATTTTTTTGTGAAGGACAATTGATTTGATATTCATGTTTGGTATTATTTGAAAGTTTAACAGAAATGTCATATGATTTATGTCTAATAAATAAAATACAAATTGAACAATAAATGTCAGTTATTTGTTTAAAATTGACAAATATAATAGTGTTGCCTTATTCAAAAAAAGTCGAATGTAAAAAAATTATTATACTTAATTGTTTACTTTTTTTACGTTTTTAATCTTTTCATTCTATTCCTTCCCTAAAATAAATCTTTAAATTACAATTCACATAATGTCCGACAATTAAATCTCTGTAAATATTATCATAATATTAAATGATAATTAAAATATAAAAATTTAATAATATCTCAATATATTTAAATATTTAAAAATTTAAAATTAATCAGTAATTTAATTTGTATAATAAAATTAATTAATTCACAATTATTTTATAATTTTACAGCATATGAGAAAAGGAAGTAAAGCACTCCACATTCTTATTGAAAGTGTTGACTATAGTCGAAGTGATAAGCGCACTGACGTGCAACACACATAAAGAATTAAAAACAGTTGTTGATTAACATCGCACGGTAATGACTATTGTAGAAGCTGGAAAAGAGAATGGACACCACTTGGAAAACAATGAGGAAATGTAAGTGAAAGTCTATTAAAGCAGATTTCCGTTTAGTTCAAATAAATTACACCATTATGCCGGCAAATTAACACTTCTGTCGTTCAATATTTTTATTTTTAATTGTAGAGAAAAAATTGAAGAAGCTGAACCGTTGACATGGAGATTTTGGCGAAAGAAACGTTATATTGTCGTATTGTTAGCATTTTTTGGATTTTTCAATGTTTATTCATTACGTGTTAATTTAAGTGTTGCCATTGTCGCAATGACAGAGAATCGTTCATACATCGATGAAAATGGTATAGAACGTTATAAACAAGATTTCGAATGGGACTCAAAAGATAAAGGAATAATTCTAAGTTCATTTTTTTACGGTTACATTTTAACACAATTCTTGGGTGGAGTTCTTGCAACAAGATTCGGTGGAAATCACGTAAGATATAAATTTAGAAATTGATCTTTTACAAACAAAAAATTAATAATTTTGAAAATATTTTTATTGGGCTTTAGATTTATGGAGTGGGTATCGGAACAACAGCGATTCTTACTTTATTAACACCATTGGCAGCAAAACATAGTTTAGAAATGTTATTAGCTGTTAGAATAATTGAAGGCATTTTTGAAGTAACTTTATACTTTTTATTCGAAACACTTAGTAAGTTGCTCTTTTATGTTTATTAATTTATCTTACTCCATTTTAGGGTGTAACATTTCCTTGTATACATGCTGTATGGGCTAGATGGGCACCACCATTAGAACGTTCACGTATGGCATCAATTGCATTTGCTGGAAATTATGCTGGTACTGTAATTGCTATGCCATCATCTGGTCTTTTAGCAGCACGATATGGATGGGAAAGTCTTTTTTATGTTTTCGGTGCAATCGGATGTGTATGGTTTATTATTTGGGAAATTGTTGTTAAATCCAGTCCAGAATTGGACAAATATTGTCCTAAAGATGAAGTTGAATATATAAGAACAACAATAGGAAATAAAAATTCTGAAAAATTACAACCACCATGGAAATCATTATTTACATCAACTGCTGTTTGGGCAATTGTAGCATCACATTTTTCTGAAAATTGGGGATTTTACACAATGTTAACACAATTACCATCATTTTTAAAAGGTAATTAAGTTTTACTACTACCTATAGGGTGAATCTAAAAAATTGTTAAATACTTACAGATACTCTTAATTTCAATTTGGATAAAACGGGATTTTTATCTGCTGTACCATATTTAACAATGGGAATTCTACTTGGAATCTCTGGATATTTAGCTGATTGGACTCAAATTAAAGGATATTTGACAACAACACAAGTTAGAAAATATTTTAATTGTGGAGCATTTTTAGCTCAAACAGTATTTATGACGTTAGCCGCATATTTATTAGATCCAGTATGGACTGTATTATGTATAACGATAGCTGTAGGACTTGGTGCATTTGCTTGGTCTGGCTTTGCGTAAGTATTTATACAATAAATGAGACAAGAAAATTGCAAATTAATTCAAAAATTTGTTTATTTCTTTTAATAGTGTGAATCATTTAGATGTAGCTCCACAGTATGCTAGTATTATAATGGGAATAACAAATACATTTGGAACGATTCCTGGAATTATTAGCCCTTTAATAACTGGTTACATTGTTCAAAATCAAGTAAATTTTAAAAATTTTTTTAATATAAATAGTATTAATTTTTATTTTCTTTTTCAATTAATAGAATGCAGAAGAATGGAAAATTGTATTTTATATATCAGCTTCTGTTTACATTGTTGGTGCAATAATTTATTGGTGCTGGGCATCAGGAGAATTACAAGAATGGGCTAAAACACCTGAACAAATTTCATTGGAAAAACAAACTAATGGATTGAAATCGATTGGAATTAAAAGAGGCTATGATAATACTGCAATAGAATTGAGAGAATAGTCAATTATATTGAAAAAAAAAAAATCTATACTTTTGACTATTATGTTTTCTATGATTAAAATTATATTCTGTTTCAAATATTTGTGATAATTAGTAAATTGTATTTGTTTCCATTTTACATAATGTATTGCTTTCCATAGAGTTTATAGAATGAGAATATTATGTAAATATTTTTGGAGCAACTTGCCTTATTAAAGTATTATAATTCAATAAAATATGAGAGATAATTCAATTAAAATTAAATTGTTTTTTGTCCTGTTATCCTTTTACCAGATATTGCATTATGGCTTAAAGTGTACGTTAGTACTAACCAATATTTTAATAAACATTTTAACGAAAAATTATGTTTCATTTTGAAAACTTTGTAAATTTAATTGCATACTTTTAGTCTTTCTAAAAAATTATTACGATTTTTTTTGAAAAAATTATTAAATATAATTGCATAAGTTTAGGCTACACAAATTCAGATTGGCACAAAACATAAGTAAGTTATAAAATTTTCTACATCAGTAATCGTCAACGTCAATTTTAAAGAGCTTTGATGTGAAAGAGTAGCAGGCTTATTTGCCCAGCTCAAATTCAGGTACTATTGAAATTATTTATGCAAATTAGTTTGGTAATCAATCCAGGAACAAGACAGAATTATCTATTCAAGAAAATATACAGGAATGATTCTTATTGTTATTTTCAATTAAAAGATTTATTTTTTTTTTAATTTGTTGTAATTTAATCCTATAAATTTCTCCAATAATTATTAACATGTAAAGTAATGTATCGAAATGAGGCTTACTGCTCCTTATTTTATTGGGCGTCAGGATGTTCGTAAGATTTAGTGATTTTATTGGAATATCATTTTCTAAGTTTGACTGAAACTGTCGGTTTTAGCTTTTGCTTAATTTTACGGCTTTAATGAAATATTGATCTTGCAGAACTTCCAAAAATCAAACACCTTTCAAAACGCAAGCATATACAAAATAAAAAGTATTTTAATTAATTTTCATAAATGTTTTCTTGAAAATATTTATTTTTCTCTTTTTATTACAAATATATTTTTCTCTTTCTTATTTATAACATTTTTTTTTTTTATTGACAATTTTAATTTCAATTTAAATTAAAGATCACAAAAGAAAATATTTTTTAATTTTTTTGAAATATTTGAAATTTGAAATGAAAAAAAATTTTTTTTTTTAAATTTAAATATAAAAAACAAATAAAGATTTTCTTTCAAAAAAAAAATTTATTTCTAATAACTATAAAAAAAATAATCAAATTATTTTATAACATAAATTGAGGTTAAATGACATTTGAAATATTAAATAAATAAGCTTTGTGTCATTAATCGCTCAAATAAGTATTTGTCATGCATGCAGGCAAATACTAAATTAGCAAAATTTTGGTGAGTATTAGAACAAATCAAACGTTACGATTTGTAGTTTTTGTGTTGTACTTTTATCATGTATTTATTGTAGTGCTTCAAGCATCATATAACCTCAAATTAATTTAATGAATTCATAATAGTGTCTACACACTTTCTCAAAAAAAAAATGCAATGATTTCTTTTGATTCTATTTTGTTCCTGCCATTTTAGCCTAAAAATTAATTTCAATCAATTTCTTACAAAAGTTTCTTCTCTTTTTTTTTTAATTTTTTTAATTTTTTTTTTTTTTACATAAAATAACGTATACGAGATGAATTCAATCACAATTATTTAATGTCAAAGTTTATCGTTTTTTTTTTTTGTAATGTAAAATATCTATTTTCCATGTCGTATAATAAATAAACTATGAGTTAATTTCTAATTTTATATGCAAAATGATTAGTAGAAAAAAATGAGGAAGAAATTAATTATTTATTTTTAAAATTGAATTACATTCTTTAATTATAAATTTTGTAAATAAATGGCAATACTTTTTAACGGTTACAATAAATGACAATTAATCATCAAATGTTTTTAAAACAAATACCACAGTAGAACTATTGAACAAACCTAATATTCTTTAATAATTTTTGCCTACATACATTATTAGACATTCAAAAATTGGAGCCTGTTTTAAAGGTAAAAAAAGAATGTAAATCAAAATTTAATTTTAAATAATATTAAACATAAAACTACATTACATTTATAAATAAATCAAAATAATATTTTTTCAAATATCATTCATTTTCTTTATATTAAAAACTATTCTGGTTTTTCTGTTGTTAATCCTATAACTTCTGATAATTTTTCAATACTTTCAATTTTTTCAGTTGTAACTTCGATTTTATCTTCCTCATCATTTATTTTCTTTTCATTTTCACTTTTATTTACTTTTACTTCCTCGGAAGAGTTATCACTAATGCTGCTATTACTATCATTATTCGTATTTTCCTCTTCAGGACTTCTTGGTCTACGATTTGAATCTGGTAATAAATCATAACTAGATTCAGCACCATTAATAAAAGTTTTTCCTTCGAATTGACTACATGGACATGGACATTGACATTGTCTTGAACCACTTTGTTTAACTGGAACTCCAGGTGCTGGTATAACTGGTAATAAATTCAATTTTTGTAAATATTCTGATGAAAATTGTGCTGTTGCTTGTGGTTGTTCAGCATTGTTTGTACCATTAATATTACAATCTGAACTATAAGGGAAGAATATGACTGGCATAAAAGCAATAACAGCACCTGGTGGTAAATTATTGACTGAATAACTTGCTTGATGGCCATCTTTTGGTGGAAATACTGGTATTTGTTGATTATTTGATGGTAACATTGTTGAAAATATACTTTGTCCTAAAATTTGGCCATTAAAATTTAAATTACCTCCATTTATACTACCGCCAGAATTGAAAATTCCACTACCTGCACTAAAATCGGTTGTTGAAGAAGAAAATGCAGGAGATGATGCTTGCTGATGTGCACAAGGACAATTATTAGGAATTTGGGTATGAATTTGGGATGTAGGGATTGATGGTACTTGTGGAGCAGGGAATGATGGTTTTTGAGATGGTGTTAGACCAATATTAACGCCGGTAGAAGTTTGTTGTTGAGTCTGCTGAGGTGTTTGTGGTCTTGGAGTAGGTTGTGGTCTTGGAGTAGGTTGTGGTCTTGGAGTAGGTTGCGGTTTTGGTAATGGTTGCGGTATTGTAACTGGTTGTGGTTTTAGTGTCGGTTGTTGAGGTTTTCCATTAATATTGATTTGTGTATTAGGAAATTGACTAGCACTTGTTTGACTTAAAGATGGAATATTTATATTGCTTTCGGAATCCGGGTTTAAATTTGGATTTTTATGTGATAAGTCGACATTAATACCAGAGTTGCCACCGGTTGGTATAGTTGCTGAAGTAGAACCAATTGATACAGGTTTGAAAGTTGGCCCAGTTGACTGATGCTCGACATTAATTGAAATTCCTGGATTTGGACGGGAACTTTGTTGATGTTGCTGTGATGAAATTTGTGGACCATAATTGCATTGATTTGAATCTTTACAATTACTTGGAATATTATGAGATTGGCTAACTTCTGATGGTGAAGATAATGATGATATTGGTGAAGGATAATTGGGACGATTATTATTATTAGACGGTTGTATACCTATTGTTGTGCCTGGTGTACCTGGCTTAGGAAGATTAGAATTAAAAGGTGGTTCAGGAATAGGATAATAACCAGGGGATGGAATACCTAATTGGTCTGGTCTGTCTGGATAGGAGTTTTTAGAAGGATATGGCGGCAAATAGCCTTCTGTTTGTCGGTTTGATAAGGTTTCGGGGAATATTGGTGGATTTAAATTACTTCCGTAAATGGGAGGATTTCCTGGAGATCCTGGTGTTCCAGGCGTACCTGGAGCTCCTGGTGCTCCAGGCGCACCCGGAGCCCCTGGTGCTGGTCTTCCGCCACTACCCGGTGCACCAGGTGCACCTAATCCAGGTGTTCCAGGGGAACCAGATCCTGGTGTTCCAGGTTTTCCTGGTTGTCCTAATGATGGTGGTCCTCTGTTTCCTGGTGTTCCTGGGGCTGGTGGCCCTGGTGGACCTCTATTTCCGGGCGTTCCTGGTGATTGAGGTCCTGGTGGTCCCCTATTGCCTGGTGTTCCAGGACTCGGGACACTCGGTGGAAATCCTTCATAAATACATGGAAATGGTTTAGGAATTTCGAAACTTACTTGATTTTCTGGATGTTGTTTATACAATGAATAAAATTGTTACATAATGATGAATGTGTTAAAATTCATGTAATGTGTTAATATATTTACAATGAAAATATGAAAAGAAATAGGTTATTTTTTTTCTGAAAAAATGAATAAATATAATATAACATAATTTTCTATACCTGGGAAATTTCCTGGCGGTCCTGGCGGGCCTGGTGGTCCTAGTAAAAAAATATATTAATTATATTTAAAATCCTAACCTTACCGAATTATGTCTTATAATTTTTAATATATTTTTCTTGTTCAATATTATACCTGGCGGGCCTCCTGGGCCTAATATTTGAAAAAAAAAACATTTTTATGTTTCATAAAAACAAAAAATTAAAATCGTTATCAAACCTTTAGGTCCCCCTGGTCCTGGAGGTCCGGGAGGTCCTCCTGGTCCTCCAGGACCTCCTGGTCCACCTGGGCCTCCTGGTCCTCCTGGTCCGAAACCACCTCCCGAGCCGACACCTCCAAATCCACCACCTCCTCCATAACCGCCACTAGGGCCCCCTGGTCCACCTACGTGAGCATAAGGATCCGCTCCAGGGCCATTGGCTCCATCTGGTCCTTCTGTGTGATCGTAAGGATTATCAATATGGACATAATTTCCTGCATTATCGGGTACATATTGGCCACCTGCAATAATAAAAATAGGTTTTTTAAATCGCAATCCTTAAGTATGGAATTCTTATACCATTATCTCCGTTATATCCGCTGCCACCTCTAGATCCAGTTCTATAAGGACCACTACCTGCACCACCTCCAACTCCTCCGCCTGATCCAGGAACATATCTTCCACCACCTCCTACACCACCTCCTGAACCTGGTTTATAGGCTCCACCTGCACCAACTCCACCTCCACTTCCGGGCTGATATTTTCCACCTCTATCTCCACCTCCGGCTCCATCTCCACTTCCTGGTCTTACTCGATTTCCTACGGCGTTAGTTGGAGAGCCTAAACCATGCCCAACAGGACCTCCAGGTCCTCTAGGACCAGGAGGGCCTCCAGGTCCATTCGGTCCGCTTGGCCCATTCGGTCCACCTGGTCCATTTGGTCCACCAGGTCCATTAGGCCCACCGGGTCCATTTGGTCCATCAGGTCCATTCGCACCACCTAAATTACTTGAACCATGTGCATTGAATTTGCCACCTCCGCCTCCACCTCCACCCGAGATACTTCCACCGAAACCACCAGATATTCTTTGACCGGTACCTGAGCCGCTTCCAGGTTTAAAAGCTCCGCCAACAATTAATTGACCTGAACCACTTACTGGTCCGACATTAAATTGATTTTCAAATCCACCGCTTGCAGTTTTAATTACAGGTATATCTGGTCGAACGCCACCTTCATAATTACCACATCCAATTGGAAAGTAAGTTTCTGTTAAATCTTTCCATTCTCTAAGCTCGCCACGTTGCTGTGCCCTTTCTTCAAGTGTTTGCAATGATGTATCACCAGATGGTGGGAAAACTTCAACTGGTTGTTGTGATGTTATTGTTCGAAAACCATGTGAATCTGCTACATAATGTGTTACAACTAATTTATTATTTGGATCAATATGACCATGACAACCGTATGTAACACCGTCTGGACCACGGGTTTCATGATGAAAATTTCCAGTTTCACCAATATCATAACCATAACGGTATTCGCCTGTAATGACAATCAAAAATTGATAATTTAAATGGTATGGTACCATAGAATTAACATAGAATTAAGAAACGCGATATAACACTAACAATAGATTATGTATGGAATAAAAGAAAGTTTTAAAGTAATGAAAGTATAAGTTAACGTTTTGTCCCGCCTAAAAGTATTTTAACATAAAACGGCACCACCTCAATTCAAAGTATCGATATGGAATCGATAAAAATTACGTTTTAGCTAGATTGTTACATAAAGAATATTTGATGTTTCTTTAGCCCTCAATAAATTATTTAAAGTGAATTATGCATTAAATTTAAATTTTTGAATCTAGAAAATTTTTTTCTATTTAATTCTCATTTATTTTTATCATTTAATTCAAGAAGCATTCATATCTAATTAATTACAATCATAACTGCAAGGTTAAAATATGACACACAATCTAAGATTTATGAACTGTGCACGTCATACTTGTCAATAATTGAAAAATCTTTTTAACATTTAATCAGTCTTTAACCTAACCTATCATTTTATGGTAAACGAATAAAAACAAACGACTTCTATTAAGATTTTGGATAAAAAAATTATTTTAATCTATCTAAAAAAATAAAAATAAAAAAAGAAAAGACTAAATCACTTAAACACAATAAAAAATTTTGTAATACTTACTTGTTCGAAAATTTGAAGCATGATATTGTTGTTGGTTTACATCATTAATCCGATATAATAACTCATGATTATTAACGTCTAATGCAATCAGTGATGGAACATTCAGTATTGACAGAATCGTCTGCAATTTAAAAAATTATAAAATTAAAAATTAATAAAATATATCAGAGGGATTATTGAATAGTTTAAAAAATTTTCGAAATTTTCTTTTTCGTTTGTTTGTTTAATAATACCAACTATTTATTATTTATGTCTATGGTACAAATTAATTGATTATAGTAGTTTAATTAAGACAAGGTTTGTCTACACAGCAGGACAATTTTATTATATTCTTTTTATTTCGCTTAAATTTTTGTTTAGCTTAATATGGTATGAAATGTTCAGTGGCAATAAATTTAGTCGTAAGAATAAAACAGTGGCAACAGAACAATGTTGTTTTTGGAAAAAATCATAAAAAATACAAAAATTATAAGTGAGTTTTTCTTTTTAAATTAATTTGTCACGCGCTTGTCATTATAAAAATATGTTTTTTGAAGTATCGAATAAATATTGTTTCTCACAAAATACAATTAAAATGTTGACATGCAGTGTAATGCAATTATTTTTCTAACGTATCAACAAAATATTATTGGATTTGATGCACCAAATTCTCTTGCAAAATTCTCATAACTTGAATTTGGCACGGATACCAGGATTTTCAAATTAATATTCTTTCAAAACTCTTAATATTCATCCAAACTTTTGCAAGTAAAAATTAATTAGGTTTGACATACTCATAAAACTGTACTCAAAAAATACAGAAACAGTATTTAATTTTTTTCGTTAATTAAAAATAAAACAACAAAAATACAGAACAATTTAAAACAGTTATTTTAAAAATTAAAAATAAGTGTGACCATCATTTCTGTTTGACACAGTTTTATTGACATTTATCATATTTTATTATATTATATTCATCAGTATACACAATGTACATGCGACAGAAATTCAAACATAATTATTTTACCATTGCAATATACTTTCACTTTTCCAAATATTTTTCATATCATAAAATATTATATAAAATTTAATTTATTCTCGAATTTTTTATTATCAGCATTTTGTCTGATAGAAAACCAACCTTTTTTTTTTTATTTAAATTTTTTGCTGAAGGCTATGAGAATTATGTTTTTATCATTTTTCTTTTCAATATCTATGCTGTCTATTTGCGTGTATGTTATGTGTTTGTATTTGAAATACATATGACATAGGTAATCATAAACTTGATAAAAGCGAATTTGTTTTTGACATATTCTTTGGATGTTTAACGCTCACTGCATATTTTAATCTAACAATATTAATGTATAACTGAATAATTTTTGCAAATCACGGAAATAAAATTGAAATTTTTAATAAAAATTTGTAAAAAACAAAAAAAAAAATCGAAACGCATAACTTAATTAGAATTTAAATATTTTTGTTATTTCGTTTTATTAAAGCGAAAATTCATGCGATGTCTTTATATCAAAATACAAAAACTAAAATCGCGGATAAAATGTCACTGTACTAAATAGTATAATAATACAAAGGTCAAAGTATTTTTTTCTGTTCCTAGTTTAAATTCTTTTTAAAAAAGTGTTTGAAATATGTACATATGTATGTGTATAATATGAATTATTATTATATTATTAAAATAGCATAATAACTCTTATATTAAAGCTTAAAATGCTAAAGAACCAAAAGTATAAGTACAAAGATATCCTATTAAAATTTTCTTAACAATTATTATACATAATATTTATTCTAATAAGATAAAATTTTATACAAAAGAGAGAAAACAAACAAAATAAACGGTACATACTCAATTCTTTCTACACATAGTTTTATAATCTAAAATGGAACTACAAAGAATTCTTATTTACCATATACACACACAATTTTAAATTACCAAAAGTAGAATGGTACGAGTAGATACTTGAAATTCATTTAGTGTCATATTATGAACATCATCAATGACATAGCGATTTTCTTAAAGAACTTTTATTATTATTATTATTTAAAATGACTTTATTGCTTTTCAAAGTTTCTTTATATACACACAAATGTTATACAGTCTTTTAAACAGTATAACAATGTAATTGAATCTTCTTTCTTAAAATAATAGTAAAACAATTTTATTAAAATACAACTCCTCAAACTTTGATCAATTGTACAATGTAAAATAGTGTGTGTTCTTTTCTTTAAATCAATTCTGTTATACTGAAATTAAAACTTATTAATCAAGAATCTATAGAAAATATCAATAATTTGACATTATTACACTGTCCATTTCATATTGTTCATTGGCATTTGTCGGGTCAAATTTGAGCAACAACACCTCACTTTTATTTAAACGAAAGTGATAAGAGTGTTATACAAAGTGGTATATGTATATATATATAAGAAAAGCAGTTTTTTATTTGCTTTAATTGAATAAGTATATTAACGTTATTATTGTACTTCATCCTATAATTCATTTTTTAAAGTCTTCATGTGAAAGTAGAATTTATTGCCTGATTTTTGAAAACACTGTTATACTAATCAATATTCTATAGAGATGAAAAATTTGAAAATCAAATATTTTTGTTTTGTTTTAATTTTTTTTTTCTCTTGTATAATTTTTCGTTTAATCATTATACACTATAATTTATATAATGGTTTTGGGCAGATATTTAAAAATAAATATTTCTAAATCAAATTTGTATACGATCACTAATTTAGCATAACAATTATAAAATAAACAAAAAGTTTTTAAATTCACTCGCTACTAAAAAAGAAATTTATAATCTTGAAAGTATAGTGCCTAAACGTACATGTTACCATGCAAAAATTATTTTAATAATACGGAATTAAAAGTTGATCACGTTAGTAATAAGGAACTAGTATAGAATAGAAAAACTTAAGTGTGTTATCAATACTTTCGCTACACGCAATAATACTGTACATGTATACATGTCGTCCTGCAATATTTAAAACTTACGTGCAAAAACAAACATCTAAAATCATATGCCTTTTCTCATTCACAATAGAGCAAATAATAATTTACTATTGAACAAAAAATACCGCTCTTCTCTTTTACAATTTATTGATAATTCTCATTTCTTAATTAAGTATATTCTTCCACAAAGCAAACCATATTTACCAATTTGCTGAGGGGTATCATATCTTTGCATATATTCAGTTTTAGAAGTTTATGTATCAAAAATTAGAAATAAAGAAACAAAATCATAAAGTGTTTTCTCCACCATTGTCATAAAAATTCTCACTGTCAAAATTTTATACCATTCACAATAAGTATAATTATAAAGTTTTAAGCAGCAATATTATATTCCAATTACTGCAAACCGAATATAACCTTAAAAGCTTACGGTAAATAAATTGTTTTAATTTTTTGTGACTTTTGTTTTCATGATTTTATTATTATAGATCTTAAAATAATTTCATTATATTTGTGTATGAGTATTGTTTTTGTAACTAATTTAAATTTCGCTTGTAATGTAGTCACTTTACGGCAAAAATATTTAAGTTCTAAGATTGTTACTCTCCTTAAAAAAGTCTTCACTTCCACGATACTTAACTGTTTATTTTTTGTGCTGTTTTTTCTCTTTTTTTTTGACATATCAATAAGTCAATAGATTTTCTATGCAAAAGTATTTTTTTGTAAATTTTTTTTTCTTTAGTAATATTAATTTAACAAGGTTAAGGTGTGGGAAACACTAAGTGTTATTTTTATTTCTTTTTTACTATTTAAAATATTATTATTCTTCTTTTTATATACATTTGAATTTTTTTTTTTGAAAAACTATAAATTTTTATTTATAAAATAATAAGAAAAAAAATGACAATACTAAGTATAGATAAAAGATGTCAAATGTTTTTATGGCAAATGTTGCGAAAAATTATTTTACGATTGCTATTTTTGTTTTTTATTTTTTTGTATATCAAATGCAAAACAAAACAAAAACGTATGACAGTATTAAAATTCTCATTTCTTTGGTTGCTTTTGCCAAAGTCGCATTTTTATACTAATGTCATATTTGTCTGACGTTCAAGAAATCAATGTGAATTTTTGATTTTTAAAGGTAAAAAATTTCAAAAAAAAAAATCAAAGTTAAATTAGTTATTTTATTGTCTGGCTAATTCTATTTGTTTTCTTTTTTAAATTAAAAATTCAAAAGCAAAAATTAAAATCAACAAAAAAAACGTTTGTTTTTCTTTCTTTTTTGATAAATTACAATGTCAAGATAATTAATATAAAGCACAAGTTTAATCGAGCGACGCATGTTGGTGGGCTCATGTGCATACTGATAAAAAAACGCAACCACACATAAAAATACAAACATGTATGAAATTGATTTCCAGTCATCTAGAGAAAATGTAATTAAGAATTTTTCATAATTCAATCTATTGTGAATTTATTTTTATGTACTATATTAATTGTGTTGTTAGAAGCAATAACTGTTTAAGTCAAATTTGACAATTTTTTATTTTATTACAAATTCATATTTTCACTGATTCATTCAATGTTGTAGTAAAACTTAGTGTATCTTACTTAATGCCCAGGTTATGTTCAAGGGAAAATTAGACTGCATTCCTCATTTCTGCCTTATAATTAATAGCGCATTCAATATGAAATATTTATTTAAATTATCTACATTCGAGGAAATTCAAAACTAAAATCTAAATTTATAATACCCTACCAAATAATTATCAAACACACACATTAAATAAATAGAAATTTCAATTTTTTTAACTCACAATGTTTGTGTAAGTGATCAAGTAAGTGTGCGTTTCTATATTACATCTATGTACCTATATCGGAAATATTGTAATAAAGGTGTTGTAAGCTATAAAATATTATTAAAAATTCATTAATTATATTTTATATTTTTCTTCTTAAATCTAATGATGAGGGTTATTATAACCATTACGAACTCAAAATTACGGAAATAAGTAAAAAAGAAAAACGAAATCTATTGAGTTTTAAGAACCTTAAAGTTATTTTTTCAAAATTAAGTGCCATCTACATTCATATGTATGCATATATATATTTAAACGTGATTATATTTTTGTGGTATATTTGAAAATTTTAATTAATTTATT